TTGTGAATTTTGCCTTGCACAATAATTTATTTTAGCATAAAAATCTACCAACTTTTTATTTTCTTTAAAACACGTTTTACATTCTACACAAACTATAGAGAATCGATTTATTAATGTTCTCTAATAAACAGGCTGTATACAGAGAATTACGAGCGCAGTGATCAATAATATTTCTAAACCACAAATTGCTGGAGAGTTTTATTTATTTTTACTGTGCACCAGTCACAAAAGTTTATATAAACATGCAGAAGCCAATACCAAAATTTACCATCTATTATACAGAAGAACATTTTGCAAAAGAAAAGAAAGTCAATTCTTTCTAAATTTTCTTAAAATAAATAGGTTATTCACAAATCCTTATGATGTATAAAATCCTTATGATTCAACTAAACAGCAAAGTGGCTAAAAATGTTTCTAAACACAAATTGCAATTGCTATGAACTTTTCATTTTACGCACTGTTTTTTTTAAAATTTTATTTATTTATTTATTATTTTTCTTTTTAAATGGCGGGCACTTGGGGTTTGTCCCATTGGCCAAATGCCAGAACTGCTACTCTCTTCTCGTTACCCAGTGGGCACCTCTGGCGAAGCCATGGCGGTGTAGCAGCATCGCCCACGTCACACAACCACAAACCCGTTTATAGGGCGGGTCACATTCACACAAAGAGGAAAGGGCATAGAACAGAGAGAGAGAGAGAAAGAAACTTCCATGCCCTGAGCAGGATTCGAACCCGCGACCAATGGCTCCGCAGTCAGACGCGCTAACCACTCGGCCACCAGGTCGGCATATTACGCACTGTAATGTTGCTCATTTTAAGATGCGCTACTTTTATTTCCTGTGAAATACGTTATGCATTTTATACAAGTGCATAGAATCAATTTATTATTTTTCAAATAAACAGAGGTTACAAGCAAATCAAATAAAATTATTGTGATTCAATGAGCATACTAAACTAGTGAGGATTTTTTTTTGCCTATCACAATTTTGCACAATAGTTTTTTCTAACAAAAAAAAAATCTGCAAAATTGTATTTCCCTTAAAACACGTTATGTATTCTACACAAACCATAGAGAATCGATTTAATATTTAATGTCCTCTAATAAACGATCTGTATTCAAAGCTTTTCCAAGAATATTTCTAGACCACAAATTGCTGGAAGAGGATTTATTTAAGGCGTGTGCAGCAGGATGTGCGATGGAAAAGTTTTCATATCAATCGAAGAGTAAAAGTGCTGAGACAGTCAGAGCGAAAGGAATGCCTGATAGGGAAAACGAGGCCCTGCTGTTTCATCATGCGTGAGATTCGGTTGACTCTACAAGTTTATGCCCAATTTGATAGATGTCCTGGAATCGCGTCTCCGCAGAGTCAAGGATGAACGATTTTTCACATCTCCCTCACGGGTCACATTCTGAGACGGAGAATTGAAAGAATATTTTTGTTTTTGCTTTTCTTCATTTCAGATAAAAAAGAATTTAGTTTTTCTCAGTATGTACGTTTATAGTTATGTCTTTGAATAAAATAGAGACTATTGATGCAAAGGTGTGATTTTCACTATATGGATCCTTGCTAAGGAGCAATTAAATTTCAAAGTGACCGGGTCATGCTATTGGTCGAAAATAACATCACTACTTCTGGGAAGGGAGATGGTATGCATCGGCTGGCGTTAAAGCGATTTTGGAAATTTGCTAAACTTTTGCCAAATTATTTTTTTGATTTTCTTTATTTCTACTTAATAATTCCAAATTGATTTTATAATAGACTAAAAATACATAACTATATCACTTTCGAGCATGTTTTTCAATTTAATATTTCAAAAAAGTGAATATAAATAAAAGAAATGGCTGTTCAGTAGAAAACAATGATGCAATCTACTGATATTTAAGAGGGTATTGATGGCAAGAGAAATAATAGCAGAGCTATTTAGATTAAATTTTTATAAGATCTGATCGGTAATAAATGTAAATATTGAGACAATAGACAGTATTTCGTTTGGTTCTGTTGCAAATGCTGTAATACATAATGCATACAACTAAATAAATACTTTTTTTAATAATTCAAAATTGTTCAAATTAAAAATACTATTTACAATTCACCCAATTTTGTGATAATTTCGTTCAGAGTCTAAGTAATGAAAATAAAATTTAATATTGATATTATATAAACATTTATAGGAATCAAATAAATCTGGAGCACACGTGAAAACGAAATCTGTTGCTAAAACACCTGCCGATGCATACCTTCTCCCTTTCCACGCGTAGTGATGTCTTTTTCGAGCAGAAGTGCGATCCGGCCACTTTGAGATTTAATAGTTCGTTTCTTGCGACCATTGAAATGAGAATATTCAAAGTGCTTGCTCTTTGAGTGTATAATTTTTATTTTATTTTATATTATATTCATTTTATAACTCTATTGTGTAATTTTTATTTTATTTTATAACCGTCGTTGAATACCCGAACCAATTTTGTGTTTACGACTACTAAAGTTCAATTCCACAGCCTTATGATTTTAAACCCATTCCAGAAGATAAGAAACTGCTGAATCAGTACCCCCAGAGGTTTGATTTGTTAAGGGAACATGGAGGACTTTGTGACCCAACAGATTTAACGTGTATCAGTCACCATTTACTACAAGGGGAGACTTCGGCCTGCTGGGATCGGACCCACGACCTTTTGCTCATGGGCCGAGGGCCCTACAAATAGGCTATCCTGGCCCCTTTCCATTATATAGTATGAAAAATGAGTACGCTTAGTACGCTTTCTTTCAACACAATTTTTTTTATTATCTTCAAGCAGTGTTTAAGTTCTTTTGCTAAGCAAAATAAAAAGATTACATAATCTTCTTATACTCGAGACAAAGCTATAATTTGGAACTACATATCTTGGGAATAAAACGATCTCACAAATTAAACAATTATCATGGCTTTAGAAGGAGCAAATAACTTATTTAAAAAGTTATTAAATTTAAAAAAAAAAAATTTGGCAAGATTTGGCAAGATTTTTTCAGTTAGAAGAAAATTATTAAAATAATTTTCTTCTAACTAGAAATAATAACATTATTTTCAATATTTGCACATTTTTATGAGACCAGATAATACAGCTTTGGAGTAATTCTCTAATAAATTAGAATACAAATGCGTTTCATTTTCACAATTCACATTGACCCTTTGGCCATTTTCAGAAACAGATTAGAGGCCAGAAGGGTTTGGCTCATGATAGATTTAGCGTGACCTAATAGTTAGGAATGACTTTCACAACTCACATGCTTTATGAAAATTGTATAGTATTCGGTAAAAAAACTTTATTCCACGGGTTGACTAAGTCTTCGAAAAACAGCTTTAATGGAAGAAGTGCAATTCAAATTTATTTAAAGAGTATAGACACGTTTGTTTTACAATCCTCAAAAATAAATACATATTTTTCATATTATTAAACGTTGGTAGATGTCAGTTTATAGCATACATAGAAATAAGAACAAGTAACCGACGAAAAACAAACTTATCAAGCGTTTACTAAATAAAATAGAGGTTTTCAAACTAAACATTTTACATTTGAGTCCAGGCTGTGCAATGTTAGAGTAACTCATCACTTATAATAATAATAAAAAAAAAACAATCTGGATCGAAACTTGGAAGGCTTTTCTTCAAATTAACGTTTTGCGCCATTTTCATAAGGGTTAAAGTGGGCGTTGGATAAAGGTAGGCAAAACTTAGCATCTTTGAATAGTTGTTTTGAACTCAGAATCTTTGCAAAAACAGCATGTTATTCTCAAAAAAGCTTAATTTCATGAATGACTGTTTTGAAATCTCAATCGTTACTAAAACAGCATATTATTCTCTGAAAAGTTCTATATCCATGAATAGCAGTTTTAAACTTAGAATCGTTGTGGAAACAGTATGTTATTCTCCAAAAAGTTTTATTTCCAAGAATAAATGCTTTAAACTCAGAATATTGATTTCTAAAAAGCATTTCATATTGCCAAAGAGGCTTAGAAAAAAAAAAGCCTGTTGAGGCTATTTTTTAAGGCTCAGTGGTCTCTCACCAAGCTCCTTAACTAATATTTTAAAACATGCACTTAAATTATTTCGACTGTCTAATTGCTTTTTATTGAACTTTAAATTTATTATTTGTGGAAATTTTTATAAAATAATGTTCAGAATAAAGAGTTTAAAGTTAACTCTGTTAAATTAAGCTACATTAAAGCATATTCACACATTAAGTTTTTTAATTACGCATTTTTTAATATATTTTTTGTTGAAAATAAAAAAAGAATGTCTAAAGTATTAAGAAATATGTTGAAATTGGCAAATGTTGGTGAATGTTTTCCAAAACACAAAGTTAGAAATTCAAACTTCTCATCATTTTATTGGTACATTGAATATTATTGGTACATGCACCCTCGTAGAGTCTGGACTTATTTATCACATTTTAAATATCCTTAAATGTCATAATTTGACAAATTTTACTCAAATTTGGAGGTATAGTTTTTAATTCTATTCTATTTAAATACCGTTACATCAATAAACTTATTTTATAATTGAGAAGTTCAGAAAGAAGGTCAGAAAATTTCTTAATATGTACTTCTGCGATTTTCAATTAAAATTTCAATCAAAGTTTGATTGAATATGTTTTAATTTTCATCTGAAAATATAATTAAAATATTTCACCTAGCATGTTCTTCTACCAAGATTTGCAACTGAAAATTCAATCTAAATTTTATGAAGCATGTTTTTCCCTTAAGTTTCTTAATTGAATAATTCATTCAAATTTTCCCTTAGTATAGTTTTTTTAAAATTTATTTTATATTTTTTTTTATTTAAACGACTTAAAACTCCTCATGCACCACAAAGTATAGCATAGTTTGTTGCTGAGAATTTTCAATTGAAAATTATATCAATTTAATTAACAAGTTCTAAGTTTTTCAAAGAAAATTGAATCACTATTGCAAAAACGATATATTTGAAAAGACACATAGTAATTCTGCCAAAAATGCTATAAAATATTCAACAATTTTCAACGAACTTTATTTACCTTATTGTACAATTTTATATTGATATGAAATGAGTATTTACAATAGTTTTCCTTTTTTTTTTTTTTAAAAAAAAACAAGAATCCTACGCTGCTTTTAAGTAATGATAAGTCAAATGATTGCATGTCAATGTCTTGTAATGATAAGATGTTTCAATGATGATTATTCGTTATAAGGGTGAACATATACACAAATTTGATTTGATGGTGATTGTCATCAATACCCATGATGCATTCCATGATGTTCAATATGATGCTCATGATGCTTTTTCCTATAATAATACATAAAATTTATTTTTATTTTGCATAGAATTGTCATAAGATTAATAAGCAAGAAAAATATATTCGGCTTACAGCAGGTAATTTTGCCTCGAATTTTTTTATCAATTTAAATTTTGAAAATTAAAATATATTATTGATATTAAAACACATAAACATATTGATAACATTTAATAATTATGCTTATTTTCCTGTTAATAACTCCTTTTTATAAAGAGTTTTATAAATAATTGTTCAAAAGTTGCTTGAAGAATTTTTTATTAATAATTAATTGAATAACAAATATAAATATTTTGAATGTTTAAATGCAAATAATTAAAGCAGAATTTAATCAAAAAATCGATGAATCTTGCAATCGAAAGAAACATTTTAACGGGTTTTTATCCATAAGCTAACTTTAAAACTTGAATAACAAATTTTGATGTTTTTAAGAATTTTTTAAATTACTATCAATTTTCAAATATTATTTATATTAAAAATTTTATGAAACAATTATCAGTTTCATTGTTAAATTACTTTTACTTTAACAAAAATTTGAAAATAAAAGAAATAGTTGAATGAAATTTAAATTTATAAGTTTAAATTTTTTTTTAAAAAATTTGAATTCATACTGACTGTGGTTATTTCATAAAGCTATTTCATAATCAAAATTAGATTAAATATTTTGAATAAACGAAATAAATTGTCTTTTTTTTTATCATTACTTGGGTTTTAAATTACTTTCTAAGACAATTTTCTAATACGAGCTCACAATTATTACAACTTCTTTACCAGCACACAATTATTTTTACGGTCACTCTCTAAAACACTTTTTGCAGTTCACTGACCGTAATCGAGAGGGAAGTGTTAACAGTATTTTTAAAAATAATATACAGATTATTTTTATTATCGACTATTTTTAGTTATTTTTAAATATTGTAATCTAAAGTTTCCTATTTCTCCTGCCTTAAAAATTTTTAATTAGCAAATACGCTTCTTTTACATCCACCTTTATATTTAAAATAGTTTTTTCTACTTCGTCTAAAAATATAGCTCAAATATTAATATTTTTTTAAAAAATTTGAATTCCCATTAAACTTAAACTAAACTTACTATTTTATAATTAAAGTTGAATTAAACATTTTGATTATGAAAAATAAATTATTCTTTCAACATTAATTAGGTTTTAAACTATTTTCTGTGACAACTTTCTATTCTTATTGGGCATACAATTACTTTTACAGTCAGTACCTGAAACACTTTTTGCAGATCACTATTCGTAATCCAGTCTTGAATATTTTTTAAAAGTATATTTAAAAATCACATATTGACTATTTTCGATAGTCACCCACCATTTTTAGTTATTCTCAAACAATTTATTCCATAATTTCCGATATCGTCTGCCTCAGAAATTCTTAAGCAACAAATACGCTTCTTTTACGTGCTCCTTCATATTTATAAATATTTAAAATAGTTTTTTTCAACGTCGTTCGAGAAATCAGGCTCGAATTTTTGCAGCATAGTACTAAATTGTTGTTCTAATGTTTTATGCATTAGAGATGTAAAATTGTATGAAAATTAACATTTACGTCGTTGCGACTAAGTAAAAATAATAACTAAAAAGAACAGTCCATAAACTTTAAGCTTTTTTCTAAATAGCACTCAAGTATATCATTTATATTCATCGAAGGCATCGGGGTTTTAAGTATAGGCATTATCTAAGCTAGTCTAGCTATTTCGTGAAAGATCTAGTAATTATTTGTTATATGTGAAAAGTCTAAGAGCTTAATACGTTTTTGCCTTTATTCTATTTATTATAGAGAAAAGATTTTTTTGTTTGTTTTTAGTATCGCCAGTAAGTAGTACTGCTTTTTCTTCTTCTATGATGGAAGATTATAAGATTTATTTACTTTAACATTCCATTTAAAGTTAGAGTTTCTTTATTACCAGGCCATTAAAGAGTGCTTATGACTTCAAACTTTAGCAATTTCTTATTTGAAGGATCAGTATGCTATTTATTAAATTTTTTTCATCAACAGTGATCTTTTTCAGAAATTTATTTTATAACAAAATGTGATAAGAAGAATAAATAACTATTGTTATTAATTTTCAACCTGATACACAAATTTAGTGAATTTGTTGATTTTATATTTTAATTTTTTTAATAGATTAGATAAACAAAAGATTATTTTAAATTATGTAGCAAATGAAATTTCTTCCAAAATAACCAACTTTAAATTTTTTAAAATGTTTTATAAGAATTGTAATTAATCCAAAAGAAAATAGTTTAAGATAAAATCGTCAATTTGGTTTCGACAAAAATTTAAAACTTTCATTAATGATAATAATATTTTAAAAAAAATCTATTTTCTTAACATTAATTAAAAGTTTTTTACTGAGAAATAAATGATCAAAAAAAGCTGTGATACAAATAAAAGTTTCAAAATTGAATAAAATTAATGTTTCAAATATTTAAATTTTTAAACATGAACTTTTAGAAGAGAATCTACTACTGTACTTACATATTTTCTTCAGTGACATGAAATCCAAGAAAGTAACAATTTCAAATAAAATATTTGCTCATAATAATGTACATGGTCTCTAATAAGGCTTCCGAACAATGATAATGAATGTCTCTAATAATGTTCTCGATCAATGGTAAGAGATGTCTCTAATAATGATCTCTAATTTGTCTCTCGCACTTTACTCTAAATTACTCTAAATTCATGTTCGTTTTACTCTAAATTCATGTTTTGATTCTGTTTATCTTCACTTATTTCACACAATTATTCTTTATTATTAAAAGCTATTGCTTTTGCCAAGAACGTTTTGTTTTTGACTGAAATATAGTTGATGGCATTCATATAAATGACCTATTAAAATTTAATATTATGATAGGGGGGAAATCTTTCTTTGCTTAAAAATGTAAGTGTTAAAAATAGCATAATAAATGTAGAATAAGTATTTATAAGATTCCAATAAATGTTTCATTAACAATTAATTTACAAACTGTAGAAACATTAAATTTCATCATTTGATACACAATAAGAAAAAGTTTTACTACAAATTTGTGCATAAATTAGCAATAGTTAGATCCCTTAAAATATTATGAGTATACAAATTAGTATCGAAATGATATCATAGAGTTCAAGAATTTGATACATTTTTTTGAATATTGTATACACCGTAAACATAGTTATGAAAGCTATGCTATCTTTGAGAACGATAACATTAATTCGATTTAACAAAGAACGATTTCGTTTTTAACGCTTGTAAGCCGATTTAGATTTTCGTTTAGGATAACGCTAATGCTATATTAATGTAACGTATTGACATATAAACATTTTAATTTTGATAACAATGTTGGATCGTGGATTTTTGAGATTGATAAAATTTATGTGCACCCTTAGTACATCATTAATATAAGTATAAAAGCTAATATTATTCTTTGACTGAACTTTTATTATTTTAACGTTAATGAGTTTCCTTAGATTTCAAATTTGGTATGAAGTATAAAATAAAAGTTTTTAACAACGACGTGGGTTTAATGAGTTTGATGAATTAATCTGTGCACTGTAAAGAACGTATGTATAGAACGTAACCATAATGTTAAAGGCTACGTTTTCTTTGACAGAACTGGGAACTATTTCTATTTTTACGTTAATTAACTCTTTTTTTCATTTAAGAGAATGTCGATTTATGACATATAAAATTAAATTTTTTGACATCAGCACTATTTTTTTAAAAAATAATAAATGACAGCTTCTAAAAAATATTAGATAATTTAGACTTACTCCACCATGACAGGAACAGGGAGAGGAAGAGGTACCACCAACAACTTCTTCTTTTTCAGGGCAAGTTTGGCGAGCCATAAAGCCTTCATAATCTTCTTCTTATCAACTGCTAATGCCTGGGATTTTTCTACACTCAAGGGACTCAAGAGCAAGCAAAGAAGCATAAGGCATGTGATAACTCGAGAATGCATGGCGATTATTATTTGGCTAGAACGGCTTTTTTACGCCTAAAATGTATGAATACAATGTGTTTAAAAATATTTTGAATAAAATATTTATCAGAATAAAATTTTTTAATCAATTAAATTTAACAGTGAAGTTACATAAGGAAAGGAAATAACTAACGGAATTAAATTGCTGTTTCATGAATTGCATTTAACATTATTACATAAGAAAGAAATATTTCACGGAATTTTAATTGTTGCGTCATAAATGGCAATCAACATCATTGTGTAAGAAAGAAATTGTTAACTGAATTAAATTGTTGTTTCATTAATTATATTTAGGATTATTGTAAAAGTGATATAAGTGAAAGAAATACAAGACAGAAGTAAATTGTTGTTTGATTAATCGCAATTAGCATTATTATAAAGGAAAGAAATATTTATCAGAATTAAATTGTCTTTTTGTGAAATGCAATTAACATTGCTATTTAAGAAAGAAATATTTACCAGAATTAGATTCTTGTTTGATGAATGCTATTTAGCATTACTACATTAAAAAGATATATTTCATAGAAATTGATTGTTGTTTTATGAATTGCAATTAACTTTGTTGTATGAGAAAGAGATATTTAACAAGAGAAATCGTTGTTTCATTAATTACATTTTACAGTGTTATGCAAGCGCAATGTTATATAAATGGAAGAAACAGTTTAAAGAATCAAATTGTTGTTTCATGAATTGCATTTAATATTTTTACAAAAAAAAGAAAGAAATATTTCGCAGAATTTAGTTATTGTTTTATGAATTACAGTTAAAATTATTACACAAAAAAGAAATACTTAACATAATTAAACTTTTGTTTCAAAAATTACATTTAAGAGTGTTATGCAAGTGCCATGTTATATAAGTGAAAGAAATATTTAACAGAATTACATTTTTATTATAATGAATTGCATTTAGCACTATTTAAGTTTATAAAAAAATTTAAATATTTCAGAAATGTGTAGATAAAAATTACATGAAACTATAGGCACAATTTTTAAACATTGTTTTTGAAAATATGAAAAGATAATGTGTATAATTGCACACTTTGAGAAATTGAAGTATTCAAAACCATCCCAGTTCATTGCTATCAGTTTAGTAGGAAAAACAGAATAACCTTCCACTTAACACTGACTTCATCGCTCCTCCAATAATAGCAAATGTTTCACAAGCGAGAAGGAATTGGCTTTTTATTTTATCCATAACTGGATTAAAATATGAAAGAAAATGAATGAGATTGGATGAAAATTGATTGAGATAATATTTCCGGTTCCTTTATTTCTTGAAAAAATGGTTCATGTTAGTTTTGAAACTTAATGTATAAATCATTTTACAAGTTTATTTAAATTTTGGAAATGCATTTTAAACTTTTCGCTGAGCATTTTCGTGTAAAATGCAGCACGCTGAAATATTTCATTCTGAACTAAATGTCATAAACAGTAGGTGTTGAAAGTAATCAAATGATTAAAATTTGACTGTATGAATAAAATATAATAAAAAGAATTAAATGTAATATAAATAGATACATAATATGATATCCAGTAATAAAATATATAATAATATACTGTAAAAAGTTCTGGCACAATGTACTGGGACCCTGAGTGCAGAATCCGTTAGATTCTTTTTTGGCGTAAATATTTTGGCGTAAATATTTTTACAGTAAATATTACTGTAAAAATAACGATATATCAGATTCTTTTTCTAAATGTTCATAAAATTTACGGAGACGGGGGAAATTTTCAGACATCGTAATAACCGAATCTTCGCAAGTTGCCGAGGTTATTTATTAGGCCTATTGCAACGAGCTTTGAAGGCGCATCGCAAAGTGACTACCGCAGTCTGTGAGTAATCAAATTTTAAATTTTTTTTCTACGACGTATATTATGAAAGTAAAAAAATAATAAAAATGAAAAAAAAAATAGTAAAAAAAAGCTTTTTAAAAACGTAAACTTTAATGATATTAGAATAAAAAAATGTTGTGCATTTATATTTACTAAAGTATTCGTTTGTTCAAATTAATTGTAAATTAAAACAAACAAGTCTTTTTTCCTGACACTGCATAAATTTACTTTTGATTTAGACTTGAAAATAATAAAATATTTCTATTACAATCCAAATGGCTATAATAAAGTTAAGTAAGCATTTTTCTGAACTAAGACTAACACGTTTCAACTTTACTTGTTGCGATTAAAATTGAATTTTTCTGGTATCTTTTTCACGGTCTGACATGGTTGGCTATAATGTCAGTTTCGTTTGACGTAGTACTTTTCTAGCATGTGAGTGAAACTAATGCTTACTGAATATAGATTTGTTATTCTTAATATAATGAAATTTATTTAATAAATTTTCTAAATTGAAACAAATGAAATCTGAAATATTTTTTGCTTTTGAACATTGGAACGAACCTTCGAACATTGAAACATTCTTAAATTTACAGACGCGGGAAAGTTTTCAGAGATCGTGATTACCAAATTTTGCAAACTGCTGGCGTCATTTAATAGGCTTATTGCATAGAATAAAATTTAAATAAAAATGACTAAGAAAAATAAAATTTTTTTGAATTTGTTAAAGTGTTATAAATAGTTTCAAAATGTTTTTAAAGTGAGCTTAATCCATACGGTTTATTTACTGTAAAGTAATAGTAGTTCTTCTAAAAAACCTTACCTGTTGTAGATGAACAAGAACTCACTGAATGTTGTGGTATTATTCAGCTGTGTACTGCTTATATACTGAGATAAAGTAACACTGCCCCACTCGAGATACTAACTATAAATTGCTGAGGGGGGTTTGATTTGTTCCTCTTCCTGATTTATTTGTTATCCAATAAGAATAAAGCTCCAAAATGCTATTTCCGAACAAAATTTCGCAAACGATAATTGCTGCATTTCTATTCTTTGCCATCTTAAATGTTCTTTCTGATATATTTAGAATGTTCTGCGAACCTCCTGTAGATTTTGGTATTTGAAAGTTCTATTTCTTATAAGAACTTTCGTTTGTTTAGCCTAGGGATATGTCAGGAGGTCCGTCATATAGTTGGGAATGGATTAATTGCAGACGAAGTGCGAATTAGATTCCACGCCTCAATAAGCAGGTTAAGTAAAATGTCTGCTTTTTTTTTCTTCTCAGCTTTTTGATTAAGAGTTAAAAAAGTAAAAGTACTGTTCGCGAAGTGTCGGAACCTAAATATAGTTTTCTGAAGAGTAAATTATAACCGGAATAATGTTTGCTCAGCATTTCAGTGACTTTGTCTTAGAATGGATAACAGACAGACAAGGTCCGTTTTGAGAGGAAGCGGATTTTAGGCATTGAGGAGTCTGAATGAAGGAGTAATATTATTATTATTAATAAAAACAATCTTATCCTTTTTTGTCATCTGATATACACTGAAAATGTATCTAAATTTGTGATTTGCAGCCTTTTTATTTGACTGCATAGTCAAAGAAATCAAAGTGTTCCAAAAGAAGAAAGTGTTTTTGGTTAATGTTTTGGCTGTTTCCTCATGTTATTGTTAAAACTTAATTTATTAAACGGAAGAAAAAAATTATCACATCTACCTCGTCTTAAGTCTAGCAAAAGAAGACTTTTTTTTCGGAAAAATTAATACCAAGATTTTTTATGATTTTTTTCTTTGTTACTTTACTTTAAATGAAACCCAAAAACTCCTCAACTCTCTTTTGTACGCTTTTCCTTTTTTTTTTTGGTTGAGAAAAATGAGGATGGTTTGATTTTTTATTGAATTGAATTTTTTCCAGACTAATAAGACATTGTTTTCTATGTATTTTTTAAAGTTGAATTGAAAGAGTTTCAAGACGATCGGACTAATAGTTATTCTGAAAAATAAACTTGTTCAAATTTTCTTAGCTTTGTATAAATATGTAATTTATTTACACGTAATGTAGAAATTATTTGGGCAATATTTACATAAATATAGAGATTATTTTTTGAATGTATGATGCAGGATGTTTAGTCCAGAAAAAAGGTGTTTTTTGGAAAGATTATTACCCAGAATATTTTTTGACAGAAACCTTTGTTATGCAATAGATATAAATGATTATTGAAAATCCTCCTATTCTCTTCTGAACGCTTGCTCCATTTTTGAGGGAAAGGGGAAGGATTTGATAGGAAACATTGAATTTTTTTTAAACAGACAAGTTAGACTTTGATTTTTCTATACCGTCAAGCTGAATAGAATAAGACCAATATTGAGACAAATGGATTCATAATTTAAAAGTTATAAGGGTTTTAGGTATAAAAAGTACAGATTTGTATTTGTGCCTATTTACGCAACTGATATGCTACATAAGCAAGTGAGGCATTGTTTCTTAAGTATTTTTTGCATTGAACCAAATGTGATTATGCATGAGTTAATAGATGAATAGTTCAATAGTTTTATATAACGTACTATTTTTTACATAATTTATGTACACTTTTTACATTGCTATCTCAATGTGTAAGGTATATTTTCAATGTACATTTAATTCTAAATTGAATGAAACCAATCCAAATAAAACTACCAGCTTAAAAGTTAGAAAGGTTTTATGAATAAAAAGTATTAATTTAGTATTTGCAGATGTTTAAGCATCTTATCTTATATATCGTATCTTATATTGCCCATAAAAGGCAAGAAAGGTATTGTTTTAAATACATTTTTTCCCTTAATTGAATGAGACCAAATACGAATTAACAGAACTAATAAGTGTAAAACTCAAAATGAGTTTTCTTTTGTATGGAAAGTACTGTTCTTGAATTAAACTTTTTTATGGAGTAAATCTTATAACTTCAAAACTATAAATTCAATCTCACCCAATTCAGCATAAAAATTTCATCAAAAAAAGTATTTCAAAAGTTTAGCTAGTGTCTAGATAGCAAAAGTAAAATGTGTATATAAGTCAAGTCAAAAATAGTACTTTTTAGATATAAAAACGTTTGTAACTTTCAAACTATTTCCCATTTTTTGACTCTTGCATAGTTTAATTCGATTCAGTGTGAAAAAATACTTATGTTTCGGAAAAAATGTTTCATTTGTCTGTTTAGAAGAAATTTAATTTTCCTCTTCAACTTATCCCCGATTTCTTCTTCAAAAAAAAATAAATAAAAGGAAACATATAAAAGAGAGTAGGGGAGTTTTCAAGTATAACTTATAGCAACATAATAAATGTTTTTTTTGTCAAAAATTAGCTTGGGTATTAATTTTTTCCGAAAAAAGCAACTTTTTCTCTGCTATAATTACTGGACTACTAGAAATAATTTTCATTAAAGATTTTACATAAAAACATGATTACGACATTATTAATTAAAGTAGTACAAATGTTAATTAAAGTGTAGTACTATTATCTGGCATTTTTAAGACCACTATCTCCTGTATTGTCAGTGTTAAATGGACTAAGTATTTTGGTTTTTGATGGTTTTATAAGAAAAATTATTATACTGTTTATGAAAGATTGCAAGTATTGTGCCTTAACAACATATATTTCGTCTTTTTCAATTAACTCAAGGAAAGTAAATTGGGTATTATAATTGGATATACAAATACAATTGAAGTGTCAAAATATTTGTGTAATACGAAGGGAAAGGGAGTATAGTTTCCATCTTTACAAAGGCCGTTGAATTATATATACGCTACCGGCAAAGTGAGAAATCTGGCATCTAATTATAGTGCCGAAAATCGACTAGAAAAATATGTAGTGATTAAACATATAACACATTAAACATATTGCACATCGTATACAATGCCAAATAACAAATCTGTAAAATAAAGAAATGGGACTATTTCATACTTTTAATTAGAACGATCATGATTTGTTAGTGTTAGTTGAATGTAATTCTTTAATAAAAAAGGCCTACATTTCTAATCGTCATGACTTATAAATAATTGCCGGAATAATAATCCAGCAAAGATATGTGGGCCATCATTCGGTATACACTTGAGTCGTATTCCCGACACATTTTTTTTTTTTTTTAAATAGAAGGGCCATTTCTCGGTATATAACCCTAGCATGGTATTCCTTACATTGATATTTTAAGGTAAAGGGTCATTTCTCGGTATGCTTTTGCATGGTATTGTCTATACCGCTTTTTTTTCCTAATCTATTATTAATACTAATCAAATAAGCTGGTTATAGTAAAGTCCTAGTATAAGTTTAGGTCCTAAAACTAAAAATAAGTAGAATAATGTAATGAGTAGTATCTTATAAAATAAGTAGTATATTATAAAATAAGTAGTATATTATAATACAGTAATTTAATTAATTTTTATAGGTATAGTATAAGTATAGTAATTTAAGAAATTCTCAACATTTGAAGTTAATTTTTACAATGGAATGAAAGTTCAATGTAAGTTTTCATTTTAGAAAACTGAAGAGAACGAACGTTTGCTTATTTTTATTGTACTCCTGTTCTGAGCACTGAAAAAAAAATCAGCAGTTTTTGAATTTATATTCCTCATAAATAATAAAGTAGATTATTCAGATTTTTTTACATGTTACATTATATTTGAAACAAATTTTAGTTTTTTTTGTTAAAATCATTTTACAACTTATTTCAAAAATTTAACACATGTAAAAAATATTGCGACCAATTGCCCTATCATTCAGGAGGTTTTGAAACAGTACAAAAGTGTACTAAAAAAAGATATTAAATAAGACAAGGATTTAATCAAGTTTTAGATATTGTGTAAAATTTCCAGAAAGGAAAGATTTAATAGTTTTTATAATCGAGGAAACGAAACTATGAAGCTTACAAGGAATTCAAAAACAGAGGTAAAAAAAATCGATATAAAGTACACTGTTATAATTTTCATTCTAAAATTAAGGTAAATTAACCGGCAACAGTTGATTTATCCAATTGACCGTAAAAGTAATGGTAAAGAAATTTTATTTGACAGGTTTTGAAGCCGTTTACATCTAGTATGGTTATAAAATCATGAATACAAAAATATATGGTTTTTTAACTATTAAAAACTAACATGGTTTCAAAACAGAAATTTAGCTGTACATAGGATCTAAGCTTTTTGTTAGGAAATAGTAATTTAATAGTCAATTAAAATTTAATGATTTACAACAGCTTCATATGTTCGAATTTCAGAAAATTAGTTTAGCATAATGCATTTTAAAACTTATGGAAAATTATATTTTTTTCTTTGGAAAGTATCAAATTGGTTTAAAATTTCTTGGAAAAACTCTTTTCTGCCTCTAGCCAGTTATATAGATTGATTGATCATCCATAAGATGCATTTTAGCGTAAAATCTATTTTTAACGTAAAATATTATACAGTACTATAATATTTATTTCAACATGATTCAGCGAGTTACGGTAACTATTACTGTAAAAATTTCGGTATATCAGATATTTGTGCTCTGTGACGTATTCCGGTAAAATAGATTTTGCGGTATGAAGTACTGGCAACCCGATTTTCTTAATTTGATTTGAAATTTTTTACATCGTTGAAAATGTTAAATTCAGGCTAGTTGAAAAATGTCCGTCATATATTATTAAATAATACTAATAACTTTACCCATCTAAATATTAAACAAGTAAACATATTAATGAGACTTAATTAATAATCTCATTTTGAAACATTTCCTGTATTGATATAATTATAAATTCAATATATAAGTTTCGAATTTTCAGAAGAATCGTCGTAAATAAAGACTAATACTTAGTTGCAAAATAAACAAAATTCTTACAAATACTATGAATGAAGTCAAAACTAAAACTTAGAAATTATAATGAAAACTCTAATGATATTTACTACCTTCTATTTAATTAGGAATAAGTAGATATAGAT